ACATCCTTCAAGAACACCAACAAACGATCGCAGCCGGAAACCACCGACGACTGCACGGAATCCAAAGGCAGTTCCCAACACAAAGAATCCGATATCGAAACTTCACCTGCAGCCAAGTAAGTTCAATAGCCATCAATCATACTTCTAATCGATTTATATTGTGATTCTAATTAATGGGTTTACTGAAAATCGCAGATCGCAAGTCGTCGGATGGCCACCGGTGAGGAACTACCGGAGGAACAACTTTCAGGCGAAAAAGATGGAGACAGAAAGCGGGATGTATGTGAAAGTAAGCATGGATGGTGCACCTTATCTTCGAAAGATTGACTTGAAGGTTTATAAAGGTTATTCAGAGCTTCTTAAAGCTTTGGAGAACATGTTTAAACTCACCATTGGTGCTTATTCTGAAAGAGATGGATACAAAGGATCTGAGTTTGCACCTACTTATGAAGATAAAGATGGCGATTGGATGCTTGTTGGTGATGTTCCATGGGAGTAAGTCCCTATTTCTTTCTTTTTTTTTTAAAAAAAAAACCTTTTTATCCATTAAATAGTATGTTGTTAAATGATATTTGAAAGAAGTCAAGAACATGATCAATTAAGTCTATTATGAATTAAGTAACATTAAGTTAAACAAATTGGTATATTATAAGTTAGTATTACGTTACATGTCACATAATTCACATATGACATAATTGGGTTAGAAGAGTGAGCTAATTAGGGTTATTTTTATAGAAACTTATATTTATGAATCTTATGTTATGATTTGCAGGATGTTTATGTTATCATGCAAGAGAATGAGAATAATGAAAGGATCAGAAGCAAAAGGATTGGGATGCAATTTATGAAGGTGATAAAGATGATGTGAAGTTATATATCATGGAGTGGAAGAGAAGATGGATGAATCTTTCAGCTTGAGTTCTCGAAGAACTGTTTTCATATTTTGAATAGGAAGAAAAAAAAAACATAAAAAAAAAAAGTCATATGCTTTATGAAAAGCTAAGGCAATCTATAGTATGATCATATATAGTTTTGATTCTGTAAATTTGTGGCAGGAATATCAGTGATGTTTTTTGAGGTTCGATGTTTTGTTTGTAAGAATCTTTTTTTATTTTGATTAAAAAGTTCCATATAAATACATGATTGTATATAGAAGAACATATATCATCTTTAATGTATTATTTTCTTTAATTTAGTTATCGAATCTTTGTGTGTGTTTGGTTCTTGGATTCCAACGGATTTTAATAGAATTGGAGTTTCAAATTCCATTCCGTTTTTTTTTTTTTTTTTTTTTTTTTTTTTTTTTTTTTTTTTTTAATTTGGTATTCTATGTTTGATGGGTTTTCCTTCAAAAGAATTCAAATTTACCTTTTTATTAAAAGATCAACTACCCATATGATATAAGTATTGAAATAGCAAATAAGAAATTTTATTATACGTGACAATTTAAGATTATTCAACATTTATCATTGAGTTTCGTTTTATTTTTTCGCCCAACCAAACGCATAATAAAAGTTTTCATTCGATTTCATTACTTTAAAACCATTTTGTACATAAGTCAAACCCCTCCAAGATTTTAACTATAAGAAAATGATAAATTGATAATTAAAATATATAAATCGTACTCTACCAAATAAAAACAAGTTGGTTACGAGTGCAAATTCGACAACAAATAATGGGTTATTACAATTATAAAAAAGGGGAGGAAGAGCATAAATGAATTATTAAAGGTGCATAGAAAAGGTCAAATTTCCAGCAAATAATATATCTTCCAAACATGTTATGTTTGATATCAACGGCAATGCATATCTTTATATTGGGACAACAAAAGACCTTAGTAGACTGTGACCTGATTCGACCTGAACTGAATAACTTGATTCGATTTAAACTGAATAACCTGATCTGACCTGAACTGAATAATATCTGGACAAACTTTTTAAGACTATTTTTTATGATTATTTGTCTTTTGAATAGACAATAAATCATGAATTGAGTTTTTGTAATGGTGGACGAAAAGTTGTTATTTTTGTATCATTGGTTTCAGTTTCGTTCTGTATCAGTCTTAGTTTCAATCCAACACATACCTAACACTATACAGAGCTGTCTACTTTCATTTATCGTGTCTTTTTACCTGAATTTTTGATAATAGAAGTTCACATGCCACATGAGGCATTAAATTGTCAATTTATGTCATCACGGTTGTGATAAGTAGAAGCTGGCAGAAATGGTATCCATATGCATTAACGTACAATTGAATATTATTTCTACCAAATATTCCAAAATATTAAATGTGCCAATGGGAACACTAGTAAACTTGTTCCCTTACCAAAATGAAGAGAGATTCCAACTGTAATGCTTCATGTGGCTTAATATAGTTTAAGTTTAAAACGCAATTAAGATGTCCCTAAAAGAAACGTGTCGGTTTGTTATTTCACTAATTAAAGATATTCCCAATAATTATGTTAGTAGATTGGTAGGCATGAAATACCATCAAACTAACTTTCGCATCAAGATTTATTATAATATTGAGCAGTTTACAACTTTATTGACATTTTTTTAATTAAAGTCATAATACAAGTTGTAAAGTATAATCCTTTTGGAGCCCTGTGCTACTAAGAAAAGATTTGAGACTAATTTTTTTTAATTAAAAATGATGGGGTTTATACTTTATAGTTTCATAACAAGTTTCACTTTACTTGGTCTTTAATTTTTATAAAGGCAATTTAAGCTTTCGATGTTTAATTATTTAATTAGTGTACAGGTTCAGTGAATTTCAATGTCTAAGCACATGTTTACCGAAGTAAATAGTACATCGGTTTGCACTTTGGCAAACATTTAGACAGAAAGTAACCCACAGTATCTCATTTACGATATGCAAAATCAGTCTTCCTTCTTTATATATGTTCTCAAAAAAGTAAACACCTTTTTTTGTTATTTACTTCAATTTTGAAAACTTCTTTTTTTTAGACAACAAATATAATCTACTCTAAACAACTTCAAATATCAACATCACAAGAGTTGAACACTAAACCTGAAAAAAAGAATGCAACACTAATAACGCTTTATAAGCTAGATTCTCTTTGTTTTGAAAATTGTTAATTACAAAAAATAACACCATATTATATATATATTTGTGTATTATAGCATCCTAACCATTGTACTTTCATTTTATTTCTTATTATAGTAGTATATTTAAAAAAATCTATGTAAATATAGGAGTGATAATCTTTATTTTGGATATGTCAAATTACAATCTTCTATAATAAATGAAGGTTTTTTTACCACATGTCCTCTTCTTATTCATTTGGACACATAATATTTTCTACAATTTTAAAATTTCTATTTTCCACTTGTCGTTTTGTTGTATTTTTTATTTTATTAAATTAAAATTCCACATTTAATGTGTAAGGTAATATATATGTAAAGTATTTATTAGAAATAGTTTATATATGTAATGTTTTCAATATATTAAAGTCTCATTAATTTTAATAATTCAAATTTTTTTCGTTTTTCTTATAAAATCAAACTTTTCAAATTGTTAAAATTTTATATTTGTTTTTTTAATTAAACTCATGTAATACATGGGTCTCACACCTAGTATATATGAAAGTCGGTGCTATAATAAACAAATCAAAGAAAATACATTGTTATTTCTTGCATTTTATCCATATACAAACACACATAATTTTCGACTACTGAGCTTAAGTAAAACTAATTTATAACTTCCAAACTGAATTCAACTGTGACACTTCAGGATCAACTTAAAATCTTTGTAAAAATTATTGGTAGCTCATAACTTAAAACATATAAGGATCTTGTAATTCTCAACTTATGCCCATGTGAGATGGTTTGTATTTTCATCAACTAGATCTACAAAAAAATATATTATCATTTGGGAAAATGTTGGTGAGTGAATCTGAAACAAATATAATTAAAATGACAACTTAGAGATTGCTAAGTTTGACCAAACCATAGACAATGTTTATTCCTATACGTTCCTGTGGGGAGGAAAGCGGGCCATTGAGTCCAGGCTAATTATTAATTCTGTGTGGGTCTCGTGCATTTGCGTATCCACTCTTATCTCAAAAACTAACCAGGGATACTTTGAATCACTAATTTTAGATTAAAATCATCACCAAATCTTGATTTGCCTAATCTTTGATTTGTGATTCAGTTGTGATAATAGATGATTTTGTGTGTTGTCAGGGATATTATGTGGATACACGATTCAAAATCTGTTTGACCAAACAGCGAAGATGATAGAGTATGGATAAAATATCACAAATGCATCATATGCATACATGCATTACATATAGATGTGTATATATGATGTAGCTATGTTACTATGTATGCATGTGCATACATACATACGTTAAACATGCATATCTATATGGCTAAGTATATGTGTGTATATTTGTATAGGGAATCCATCCGTATATATAAAGTGAAGTCATTAGAAATGGTCAATTTTACATAATAATATTTTCGGGAAAATAGTGCTATGTGCGATGATGTTGGTATTTGTATAGTTTTGTTACTATAACTATATGTGAATATTAAACAAGTCCATATGTTTGTTTGGTTGGATTGAAGGGAAAAGGTATGGATAGGATAATTGGAAAAATAATGTTTATATTTCATGACCATTTTTGGTTGGATTGCAGACATGTAATGCCAAAAAAAAAAAAAAAAAAAAAAAAAAAAAAAAAAAAAAAAAAAAAACCAAATGTCATACGAATGGGTAAGCGCATCTCCAACATGGAATCCTATTTTTTAAGCTAAAATGATACAATGTCACTAGTTTGATATAAATGGATATTACAACACCAAACCAAACTTAGTGTTATATTATTTTTACAACAAAAATGGTGACAAAGTTTGTGTTATGCATCCACATATGATAGATATGAGAAATATGGGAAATTCAACAAATAAAGGAGCATTAGAACCAATTTAGGTATTTCATATTATTTAGATTGTTTATGTCAGATAGTATAAAAGGATAGTTGGAATGAGAAGTGATGTAATCAATCTATCTTGTGAAATCTCGAATTATTTCCTTTCGGGAAGTGACTATCTTGAATTAGCTAATGTATCTTTAGTTCTTGTAATCTTGTTGGTATATTTGAGTATTATCAATCAATATAAGAATCATTTGTTTAGTATTTTGTTATTGAATTCAAGTCATAACAGTTTGATGTGCTAGTTTTAGTTTATCAAGTTTAATATTTATTTATTTTTAGTTTATTGAATGACTAGTTTTATTATATATGTAATAATTATTAAATAACTCATTTCTAGTTTATTAAATATAACTAGGTATATTTTTGTAAATGTAATAAGTTATTGGTTATAGTTTTGTTATAATTTATTTCATAAAGTTTTACAACAAAAATATAAATAAATATGTAATGAGGTTAGTTATAAACTTATAATTGGGTGTTTTTTTTTTTTTTTTTGCCAATTTATATATGGTTAAACAAGATATTATTTGTTGGTGTAAAACGGTATAGAGTTTTAGATGTTTGAACTATTTTTACATTATTTTGATATAAAAAAGGAGTTACAATAGTAAAAAAATGTCATTTGATACCACAAAATCACAAAACAAATGTGACTGAAAACCAAGAAAGTCCAATTAACTCAAAGAATCATGAACACAAATAAAAATATCATTAAAAACGTTCGTACTAAAATTCTTTAGTGGCACTTTTCGGTTTTACGTTGCAACATTTTGGGACTTTACTAACACTTATTTATTTGCCATGGTAGAAGATAAGCTTTGGCAAGATAAAAAGATGCTACCACTCTTCCATCTTTACTATCTATTTTTGATTTTTGAAATGTTTATTCTTCAACTTTCATCTTAAATATTTTTGTTTTTTAATATATATTATTTGATACAAAATATATGATTGAATTGTATTTTAAAATGTCTTTTCATTATTATAAGTTTCATCAACTAATACATAATATAAATAAAAATATTTAAGATGTTGATAAATAAACACTTTAAAAGTTATGATGTATGCGTAATTTTTTATTATGTATAAGTACGTTGTATTGTTTTCCCATGGTTACAATTTATAAGTTTTTATTTACAAAAAATAAAAAACTAAACACATTAATAGTTCATTAGAACCCAAACAAGACTACAAC